TCCAATTTTTTGAAGTATTGGCGAACTATGGGCCAAGTATGGCAAACTATGGGAGGCGAGAAAAACACTTATTTCAAACTTTTTGAACTATGGGCGAAGTGTGGCCCAAATATGGCGGAGTATGGGCAGCGAGAAATAAACTTTTTTCAAAATTTTTGAACCATGGGCGAACTATGGGTCAAGTATGGCAGAGTATGGGAGGAGAGAAAAAGACTTTTTTCAAACTTTTTGAACTATGGGCGAACTATGGGCCAAGTATGGCAGAGTGTGGGAGGCGAGAAAGACACGTTTTTCAAAATTTTTGGGCTATGGGCGAACTATGTGCCAAGTATGGCGGAGTATGGGAAGCGAGAAATACACTTTTTTTAAAATTTTTGAAGTATGGGCGAACTATGGGCCAAGTATTGGCAAACTATGGGAGGCGAGAAAAACACTTATTTCAAAATTTTTGAACTATGGGCGAAGTGTGGGCCAAATATGGCGGAGTATGGGCAGCGAGAAATAAACTTTTTTCAAAATTTTTGAACCATGGGCGAACTATGGGTCAAGTATGGCAGAGTATGGGAGGCGAGAAAATCACTTTTCTCAAACTTTTGTAAACTATGGGCAATCTATGGGCCAAGTATGGCAAACTATGGGATGGGAGGAAAACACTTTTTTATAAATTTTTGAACTATGGGCTAACTATGGGCCAAGTATGGCGGAGTATTGGAGGCGAGAAAAACAATTTTCTCAAAATTTTTGAACTATGGGCGAACAATGGGTCAAGTATGGCGGAGTATGGGAGGCGAGAAAAACACGTTTTTCAAAATTTTTGGACTATAGGCGAACTATGGGCCAAGTATGGCGGAGTATGGGAAGCGAGAAATACACTTTTTTCCAATTTTTTGAAGTATGGGCGAACTATGGGCCAAGTATTGGCAAACTATGGGAGGCGAGAAAAACACTTATTTCAAACTTTTTGAACTATGGGCGAAGTGTGGGCCAAATATGGCGGAGTATGGGCAGCGAGAAATAAACTTTTTTCAAAATTTTTGAACCATGGGCGAACTATGGGTCAAGTAGGGCAGAGTATGGGAGGCGTGAAAATCACTTTTCTCAAGCTTTTGTAAACTATGGGCAATCTATGGGCAAAGTATGGCAAACTATGGGATGGGAGGATAACACTTTTTTCTAAATTTTTGAACTATGGGCGAACTATGGGCCAAGCATGGCGGAGTATTGGAGGCGAGAAAAACACTTTTCTCAAAATTTTTGAACTATGGGCGAACAATGGGCCAAGTATGGCGGTGTATGGGAGGCGAGAAAAACACGTTTTTCAAAATTTTTGGACTATAGGCGAACTATGGGCCAAGTATGGCAAAGTATGGGAGGGGAGGAAAACACTTTTTTCTTTTTTTTTGAACTATGGGCGAACTATGGGTCAAGTATGGCAGAGTATGGGAGGCGAGAAAATCACTTTTCTCAAACTTTTGTAAACTATGGGCAATCTGTAGGCCAAGTATGGCAAACTATGGGATGGGAGGAAAACACTTTTTTCTAAATTTTTGAACTATGGGCGAACTGTGGGCCAAGCATGGCGGAGTATTGGAGGCGAGAAAAACACTTTTCTCAAAATTTTTGAACTATGGGCGAACAATGGGCCAAGTATGGCAAAGTATGGGAGGGGAGGAAAACACTTTTGTCTAAATTTTTGAACTATGGGCGAACTATGGGCCAAGTATGGCGGAGTATTGGAGGCGAGAAAAACACGTTTTTCAAAATTTTTGGACTATAGGCGAACTATGGGCCAAGTATGGCAAAGTATGGGAGGGGAGGAAAACACTTTTTTCCAATTTTTTGAACTATGGGCGAACTATGGGCCAAGTATGGCGGAGTATGGGAGGCGAGAAAAACACGTTTTTCAAAATTTTTGGACTATGGGCGAACTATGGGCCAAGTATGGCGGAGTATGGGAGGCGAGAAAAATACTTTTCTCAAAATTTTTTAACTATGGGCGAACTATGGGCCAAGTATGGCGGAGTATAGGAGGCGAGAAAAACACTTTTCTCAAAATTTTTGAACTGTGGGCGAACTATGGGCCAAGTATGGCGGAGTATGGGAGGCGAGAAAAACACTTTTCTCAAAATTTTTGAACTATGGACCAAGTATGGCAAAGTATGGGAGGGGAGGAAAACACTTTTTTCAAAATTTTTGGACTATGGTCGAACTATGGGCCATGTATGGCAAAGTATTGGAGGCGAAAAAAACACTTTGTTCAAAATTTTTGAACTATCTGCGAACTTGTTTTTCCCCTTGATCTTATTGACCTTTAGGTCAAAAGTGATATAAAATTTGATAAAAAATTTAATGTTATGTTCGTCTCTAACTATAGGTAAAAAATTACCTTAAATTTCTAAATCTACTTACCTGGATAGATTTATAGAAAAGTGCTCTTTGAAATTTTCATGTGAATTCTTATTGGCAATTGTCGAAAGGTTATTGAAAAGAGAAATTTCAATATAATTATGTAAAAAACAAATACTTTTTACAAAAAAAGGAAAAAACTTCTAATGAAAATCGAAATTCTAACGGAATTTCTAATTAGCACGTTCCATTGAATCTTTCCACTTGTGATAATAATGATAATTATCAAAAAATTTCTTTTTATAGCTTACGTTCAGTGAAAGAAGAAAGGGGATGTAAGTTTCACGAGGGAGGAGTGGACAACCGTCATTAATAACCTCATACAAACGTTGCGCCACCCCAAAATTAAGAAAAATTCATTATATTTTTTTCAAATTAATTAAATTAAAGAAATTAAAATTTATTAAAATTAATTGTTATTATTAATTATTGTTACTATTCATTATAACTTCAATAAAAAATCAATATAATTATTAGAGGCACGAGACATTTTTTATTTAATCGTCATTATAAATTGAAACCAGATTAATTTTGTTAATCAAATTTTTATTAAAAATAATTAACATTTTTCTAACTTAAAAAAATATATTATCAATATATTAATATTTTCTTTAATGAAAGGAAATTTATTTGTAACATTATTTTTGTTTAGTATTTTCTTGTGTTTAATTTCGTTTATTGTTCTTTTTTTATTTATTTCTGAAATTAACTTCTTTAAATCTATTAATGTTTATTAAATTTTTTTCATATTTTATATATTAAGCCAAATTAATTTTCTATCCAACAATTTTCAATTAAACAAATATTTTTCTTCTTCAAAATCTTGTCTTGTTACCATTAACACCGAAATGCTTCGTATCAAATTCTTCGACCAAATTCTTTAAGTGAGTCAATTTTCCATGCAAATAATCGTGTCTCGTGTTACGTTGCTTGAAGACCGGATCGTTATTCATATTGTAATCTTTAAAAATTTTTATTTTTATCTGAAATGTAAAAAATTTTGTAATATACTTTTTGAGAATTAAAATTCAATTGGGAGAAACAAAATTCATAAATCTGTAATAATTTACAAAGAAATCTACAATTTTTCATTGTCTTTTAAATTAGTTTTGAAACGAAGGTAAATCTGTTAACTTTAAATAATTCCCGAAGTTTGAATTTTTTTCATCTTTTTTAAGAATCCAATACCGTTAAAAATCGAAAAAAATCAAGAAAATTTATATAAAATGTTTTTGTGCATCAAACACAAATTTTACGTTTTTTTCTGCTTGTAAGTTCTTATAAATTATAAGTAAGCTCTAAAAGATGAATTAGAAATTGAGTGATTTTACAAAAATTATTTCCATGAATTATCAAATTTTACTAATAAATATCCGACAAGGACTCTGGGGGAAATATAAATTGGCTCAAACAAAATATAAAAAATATTTTACTTTATCTATTTAGCAAAAAATATTTCAAACAATTACCTTGAGTTCTTGAAAATTCCCCTGAGCTTTCACTATATTATATTGCTGCTGCCACTTATAATATCGACTTTTACTGTTAACGTATTTTTATAATTGTTTATATTCCGGACAAAGATTGTTGAATTCCTCTTTATAATGTCTCCTCTGTTCGTAGTTGCTGTCTTTCGTATAATAACTAAAAATTCAAAACACAAAATTGTCGTTATAAATCTGATTTCCGTAAATCGACGAGTAAAAACCGAAGAAAAAATAAAATGAGAGGAAAAAGAAATCTTAAAATCGAAAAGAAAAAAGCCTGTTTTTAACAAAATTGTCTAAATCACAGTTTTACTGTAAAAGACAAATAATTAAAAATTAGTGATAAAAAATAATTATTTCAGTATGTAAACAAAGTTCCACATTTAATTGACGGGGAAAATACTGAAATCATAAGAGAATTATTGGTTTTATTTTCCAAATATAAAAACATCATTTGTGTTATTGTTTACATTTTTCTAACCTACATGTTGTTTGAAAGTGTTACTCACCTGCAATTGATTGCATAATCCTTTTATCAATCACTTTAACATTTAATTCCCGAACACATTTAATTATTTTAACACTCGGAATTATTTCTAAAACATTGAAGAATTTACAAAAGCCGCTATCGAAAAAACCAACCGATCAAAACAAACTTTTCTAGTGATGACCATTGATGACACCTGATCATTTGGCAGATCTGTCGGCAAAGAGTACGAAAATACAAGACTAACCGCAAATATTCATTTTCTAGCAGCAACTTCAAGTGGAAGGCATTTGTACGTTTTACTGTACATATAACACACTTTACACGCCCTTTGTTGAGAATACGAGTCATGGCATAACTAAAAACTCGCACATATATATATATATATATATATGATGTAAGTGATTTTAAATTATGTATGTCATATAAATTATAGTCAACATCATCCTTAGCAGATTTATAATAGATTCTAATATATTTCATCTTAAGAACCATAAAATACTTTTTTTTCAGTAAAAAAAGAAATATTTTTTTTCTTTAGAAAAATAATTTACATTTTCTTCGATATAAAGAAAAAAGTTTTTTTCTAAATTAATTTAAAAAAATTAATTACAAATAAATACATAACTATTTTTTGTTTATCAAAATTTATATCTATTTTTGTCAGTATAAAATATATATTTCGAATAGTTTATTTAAAAGATTTTAAAGGAAGAAAATGAGAGAAGATAGAAAAGAGGGAATCCGTTTTTTTTTCTTTTTTTGCAGAATTACGCTAACAAGATCTACCGGTGACGCTGGATGAGTTCACATCGTAAGGGGTCATCGTTCTACGTACATATATGATATGGTTCGCACGGTTCAGTACACAGTGTGCCTAATTATTATTCTTTCAGGAAAAATTTTTGTAATGATTCTAACATGTCTCTACCGTTTAAATATATATATATATCTGAGAAAAGAAATTTTCACCCACACACATGACCTCCTTATTACAATGCAAGGGTTGACATGCGTTCAAGATCACACAAACTGTTAACGTCTAGCGTGAGTTAATTATATTCAATAAATTATGTTTGTCTATATACAATGAGCGCGTGTAATTAACCTTATTTTCTAAATTATTTACTTGAAAATCACTTTTAAGCGCTTTGTCTTTAAAAAAAACTGTCATTTTATTTCTTCTATTTAAAAAATAATTAAATTATTCATTAAATAATGAAATCTCTTGAGAATATCTGCTGTATTTATTATTTCTGTCCTAGATTATTATTGTTTATATTAGTTCATAATTAATAATAAAGAGAATTTTCAAAATATTACTTTTGCATTCCATGATGTGATGCCAATGTGTAAACCATAGTCACAACAAACTTTCTCATCAGCATTTGTTCTGTATCTTTCGTAGGCTTCAAGGATGCTTTCATCTGGCCTTGGAATGACAAAGTCTAGGATCATTGTCGTTCCACCTGATACGGCCGCTTTTGTACCTTGATAGAAATCATCAACGCTTGTGGTTCCCATGAATTCAAATTCAAGATGTGTATGAGGATCAATTCCACCTGGCATAACATATTTTCCTCTTGCATCAATCGTTCTTGTACCACCGGGAATTATAAGATTGCGACCAAGTTGTCTAGAAAAAATAACAAGAAAATATTATTTTCAGCTATTACTATTTTTTTTAATTAAAAATAAATTTTGTTTAATTATTTCGAGTGTTATAATAATTAAAATTTAAAATTTTTTTTTTTTGCATCGAGTGTTCTGTGTGCGTGAAGGACGCGTAAATTGAAAGCTATTTTTCCAGATGACCGATTTCTGATTCTGAGGGGTTAACGATGCGCGCAAAGTGACCTCTTGTCGCAGAGGCCAGCAATATTCACTTCAATGTTATGTAACTTAAATTTTTTTTTCTAATTCATTTAGTACTCTTTTTTTCAAAATAGAAATTATAACGCCTAGAATATAAAAATTACTATGTTTATAATTATAATCAATTGCAACTAATAATTATTATAAATACACACTTGTACTACTATATTATGTATTTCATCGGTTCTCGCGTTCATTCATTTTAGTTTCAATGAAAAAAGTCTTGATGTCAAGATATTTATATTTACATGTGTCAAGTTTCTCCTGCATGGATATTAAAAGGATTTATATTATGATGAAAGTAGACAGCATGCGAAATCGCATGTGATTAAAAGGCTCTTATTTCCTTTTAATATTCTAATCTTTCCTGTCATTACACACGCAAATATATATTGTATATATATATATATAAATATACCGGATGAAGGAGATGAAAACATTTCGAGAAATATTATTTTTATATGCACGCAATCAAAAAACAAAGTTGTAAAATTTTTTTCAATTACACTAAATTTTATAAATTAAAAAGAAAATTTTTTTTTTTAAATTAACTTACTTAATAATGCCATCCTCGATGTAAATATCATTATCAGTCATGTCATCTTCATTCACGATTTTTCCATTTTTTATCAAAAGCCGATTCTGCGCGCTCTGAAATTTAAATATAAAATTTGCATTAATAGAAATATTAAAAATTTTTAAGAAAATATTTTTTTTTGTGAATTCTTAAAAATTAATTAATTTACTATTATAGAATATTTTTAATTGAAAGAAATATTAATTAATATGCGAGAGTTTTTAATTTGATATTATTAAATATCAAGTCAATTATAGATCACAATGAACTTAAATTACTTATAATTAATATTGACCATGATTAAGACATAAATCATATTAGTAAATTAAATAATTATTTTCATAATAAATATTCTTTTTACATGAAAAAAAATATATATTATAATATTCAAGTGAGTTTCCTTCGCTTTATACATATTAAGAAGGGCATCCGGTTTATATGACCATATGTAAACCAATAATATTGCCTCACTTTCACGCACTTCCGGCGATGTTGAATTTAAAATGAACCTCTTTTTTAAAAAAAAAAAGTTTATAACTTGACGTTTTAAATTTTATTATTCTTTTCATTTTACAAAATATAAATTTAGTTATAAATAAATATTTATAAATAAATTTTTAAATATTTTTTTTATTTTTCTCATTGTTAGGGAGAATATAATATAATAAATAATAATTAAACAATTTTTTAATGGATTTTTCAGCTTTTAAAAATTAAGACGAGAAAGAGTAAAGTGAAATCGTGAACAAGGTGCTAGACACAAGAATGGGAAAGGGTTTTTGAAGAAAAAAAAAAAGGATGTATATGTATTCGACGAAGTGGGAAATAAAATAAAAAGAAAAAAAGAAATAATTTTATGGCCCTCGTGTCTGCCACCCTTTACTTTCACCATAACGCCGACGCCCTTCGTATATATCACCAACCTCAGTGTATAGATTTTCCGCGTGCGATTATATTTTCAACCCCAGAAGCTTAACTTTAATTTTACACTCCCTCATGGTATAGATATTTATTACAAGAAAATATATGACGCATTTGAAAGAATTTCACGAATAATATTTTTCTTTAATATATTATTTAAAATTTTTTTTTAACTTAGAAATATATTTTTTTTGTTTCACCATTTTCTAAATTTAATTATATAATTAATAATATTATTTAATAAATTATGTTAATTAATAATTATATTGATTAATAAATTATATTAATTATTATTTATTAATTAAGCTTCAGCCTTTCGGCCCAGAAGTGGACTTGGTTTAATACAAAATTTAAAAAAATATAAATTATATTAATTAAAATAATTCTTGAATCGGAATTAGAAATAGTGAATACTGAATTAGTGAATAAAATTTTAAAAATTCAAATTAGAGAAAAATTTTTAACTAGCTTTAAGGGGAATAAATATAATTAATTTAACATCGTTATAATATTAATAGTGAAATAATTGTTTAAAAATAATATTTTGTATATAAATAAAAAAAAAGACAGAGCGATAACCTTGGAAATAGATCGATTACATTTTTTTCTATAATGTATAAGAATCATGGATAGTAAATGAATGAATATTAAAATACTAAGAGATTGTGAAAGAAGAGACCTTGCTATATGCACGCAATATACTCGCGTACTGCAACTATTTTTTTTTCTCTTTCAATTATTATTCATCAAAAATCATCATAGGTTTTGTAAATTATTTTTAATGATGAGCTATCACTTAATTAATACAATACGAATTATTTAAATACAATGAATACTCTTCAAAGGTGTACAAAAAAAAAGAAAATTTAACAAAATTTACAGAAAGTAAAAAAAAATAATTTTCTAAATAATAATTTTATTGCAAAAAAATGAATTTAAATATTGATATAATTTTTTTTTTTTAAGGGAATGTCTATGTATTTTTGGATGAGTATATTTATAGCACTTCTACCCTGAAAAATAGAAGAAGTCATACACAAAGAAGGAGGAATTTCAGAGAGATGAACCGCAGACTTCAAGGTCTAGATGTCTCGACAAGAGATTTGCCCTACGACGATTTATATATTAAAAAAAAAAAAGGAGAAAAGAATTTTCAAAATGGGTAACAATATTTTGATAGAATTTGATTGTCGACATTTTTTCGGAAATAGAAATTTGCTGTATGAAAAATATATTTTTCTCAACTTAGAGAAAAATAAAAAAAAAAACATTGTCAAAAATCTGAAAATTTCAATCAGAATTTTTTTATTTTTTTTTTTAACTTAGAAAAATTTTATAAATATTATTCTGTGTAATTTTTTTTTTTTTTACCTCCATGAAGTTGGACCAAAAATATCAAAACATTTTTTAAAAAGGGGTTTAGGGTTCACACAATGTCTTAAGAAGTATTTTTCAAAGTATTATTTAGATTGAAAAATTAAAAAAAAAAAAGTAATTTAAAATTTTTGATTCTACGAAAAACAATTTTCGGCGCTGACCATCGAAGCCAACTTTTTTTTTCATATATTTTACATAACTTTATTGTTTTTTGGATAAGTAAATCGATTTGTAAAAAATTATATTTATTTTTACTTTAAAACAAAGTTTAATTTAATACCCAATTTTAGTGAAAGAGAAATAAATTTAACGCACTTCATTCTTACAGCAAAGAAGAGAGGCGAAAATAATTGACATAGGGTTCGCGTATAATAAATTTCTCGAAAGACTCGAACATTATGGGTTCTCCTGGGTGTTTCCTTCCAATCGCCGCGAGAGTTAATCTCGTCTGGTTTAATAAATTTACTACTGGATCTGTATTATAAAAGATCGCCGAGAAAGATAATATAATATACAGATTTACATCACATTTATATATACCTGGCAGAAAAAAGAATCTAAATTTTTATTAATTTAAAAAAAAAATTATTGTTTTCAAAATTCTATACGCAAATTCGTCTCGAATTTTCAATAATATCTAATTTTTCGCATAAAATATATAGTATATATATGATAAAACACATAACTGTAAATGATTGCAAATTGTAGTAGAAAATTGTTATGATGGTCTTTTACCGTAACTTGAGAGTCCCTTATGTCACGGATGAGCTATTGAAGAATCAGATGGAAAAGAAGGTATTTTGCACGTGGTTGTATGCCAAGAGATATTACCCTATGTTGTTCACTTGAGTAAAGGTGTATATATATAAAAAAAAGGGGTCATACGAAAAACATGGTCTAATTCGTGGTGTATTATATACACATACACCTATTTGCAAATGACCGTCCCGGAAGTGGCAGGCCTAGGTCACACCTGGATCCCCATCAGAAAGCACATCTATTTTTGTCTTTTTACACAATTTTCTTTTTTTTTTTTTTTAGAATTTTCAAAACACAAAGGGAACGGCGCATATATACAAAACATTATTTACTATGTATCTTTTCATCGCAGAGTGAATTAAAATCCCTCTTATGTAACACAACGACGATTACTATGATTCAGTCTTCACTCTCTGCAACTTGATTCGTTCCAATCACCAAGTTTTTGTTCCTTAGAGCGTCTTTATAGATTATATATGTACCCGCGAGGCAAACAAAAATTTCTTTTACACTAAAGTGAAGAAAATTATTTGCTGACGCAATTTTAAAAAGATTTTTACTAAATCGTATATTTTGAATTAGTTTTCAATTAAAAAAAAAGAATATCAGATTTTTTATTAGAAATTAATTTTTAAAGAAAATATTTAAAAAAATTATTTCTCCCCTTTATAACTATAAGAATATAATTTTTTTTTTATATCATAAACGAGAACAATTAATTATAGCGTAAGGAAAAAGGAAGTTTAGTTTAGTTTATTTTTGAAGCATTATTCTTGAATATAAATAAATAAATAATAATTTACGTAATAATTGCAATGAATTATTATTTTTCCGTATTATAATTATTATAATAAGATACGTGGATTTTTATAAGTGTATAATAAATTATTAAAATAATGTTAATTTCAAAATTTCTCTCTGTAAGTGAATTAATATTGATCAGATATAAAATGTATAAACATTTATACTTTATATATCAAATAATTATTTTAGTATTATATTTTCAATATTATTAAAACAATATATTGTAATACATTGTGAAAAAAATACAAATTCTGCTTACTTGCACAAATTTGCATACATATATAAGTATATACATTTCATTCAAGCATGTCTCGACAAACTATTGATTTATTCATTACTAGTTTACCTGTCCACGTTATTTGACCAGTCTCTAAAAAGTGTTCCATTTTTGTTCCTCTCAGTATTATTATTAATATAATAATAATAATAATTATTATTATTATTATAATATATAATAATATAAAAATATTAAAATAATAATAATAATAATAATAATTATTATTATTATTATTGTAATAATTATTTTTAATATTGTTGTTGTTACTATTTTAATATTAATTTATTATTAATTAAATTAATAATTGTGTTTGTTATAATTCTGAAAAAATTTCCCTAAAACTGAACATTTTTAAAAATAATTTCTCAATTATAATAAAAATTGAAATAAATTTTTAAATTTATTTTTCTTTTTGAATAGTATATATTATATATCTTTGTAACCACATTGTGTTGTCTCTAACGGAATACCTAATTGTCTCTCCTGTCAGACGTTGACGAGTAATTGAATATAAAAAGGAAGAATTATATTAAATTGTGATTTTGTAAATCGAATTTCTGATGCGTGAAGTTATCTATATGAAATACTATTTTATGTCATTGATACCAAAAGAACTATTAAAAATAATTATTTATATTTTTTATTCAAAATAAGAGAATTCTTTTTTTAATCAAATCTGTTTTTTCAGTTTTAATTACTTTTTACAAAAAATTGCATTATTAATTAATATTACAGTGATATTAAAGTGCATTTTTATTAATAGAATAAATAATATAAAGTTTATAATTTGTTTTTTTTATAAAAATTAATTAATTAATCATTTCTTCTAAATTTTATTTTTAGACAATGGTCAATTTTATCATAAAGAGAGTATTTTTGATGTGTATATATAATTTGTTGATAATATTATTACAATATCTAGAGTACATAATATAT